GTAATATATATATATATATATATATATATATATATATATATATATATATTAAAAATGGAAAAAGTCCGACAATTTATTAAAGATATTTTTATGTTTAACATTCTTTTTATCGATAAGTATTATAAACAGAGCATTTACTTAAATACTTGTTTCTATAAAAAGAATGTTAAACATAAAAATGTCTTTAATATATATATATATATATATGGCAAACGCACACACACATATATATTTATATATGTGTGTTTTTGTATTTTATATATATATATATATATATATATATATATATATATATATTCATGAATTATTCACACAAAAACAAATGCCAAGGTTAATGATTTAATTGGCGAGAAATCCATCGTCGCAAACAATTCAAATAATATACAAAAAACCTCCGAATCCGTTATGAATGAAAAGATCCTTGTTTCTATAAATTTCTGCCGTATTAGTTCTTATTTTTACTACAAGCTTTCGTCTGTTCCTACAGACATCTTCAGGTATGGAATAGATGTTGTTCTTGTTTTTCTCTTAGTAATAAGAGGACAACGAAAATATATGTATTGTTGTATCCGAAAATGCTATTGGAAATGAGTTATTGTTTTTGGAGCGCGCAGTAGCAACGCTGAGTTTGATTTTAAATTTTTTTACATTTGTGCGTTCATGTACAAATATGGTGATGAACGAATTTTTTACTGTTAAATTTTCTGTCAAAGTGGCATGAATTATATTGTTCAATAATTACAGTAATGTCGCACTTATTATCCAAAAGTCGCACTTGGATCAGTTATTTTAATTACGATAAACGTGCAATCAATTTACAAATTCATGAATTATTCACACAAAAACAAATGCAAAGGTTAATGATTTAATTGGCGAGAAATATATATATATAAATAAATATATATATATATATATAAAGGGTGTTCCAATAACTTGGACTGATTTTAAATGTCTATTAAGTTTAAGTGTCTAACAACCTTAGTCTAACAATTTCAACCATGGAAAGATTAACAATCAAAAGACATGTTAAAGTTTCAAGAGTGCAATTGGAAAAATTGTTTGTAAATTCAAACAAATTGGGTCGCTGGCAGATGTGAAAACACCATTGCGTGCTCGTTTACGACGTTCAGCTGAAAACATTGGTAGAGTGAACGAGAATGTGGCCGAAAATCCAGACCCCACTATTCGTCATCGCGCGCAGGAATGGATCTTCTCCACAACAACATTACATCATTTCCAATTGTACTCTCGGTTGGTCGATTATGTTGACCAAAAAATTCACGAAATGCGCGAATTGCATTTCTATTTGAACGTCCATTTTCGTAATAGACTTCTATAACTTTAACATGTTGTTTGATCATTAATCGTTCCATGTTTGAAATTGCGGAAGACTTTAGTTGTTAAATCTGAAAGAAAAAGAAAAACAAATTATTAAATTTGTCAAAGTCAATGAAACACCCTTCATATATATATATATATATATATATATATATATATATATGAGCCAAATGATAACACAGACCCATAGTAATATACACACTTGCACACATCCTACTCACTCACTCCCTAATGAGCCAAATAACACACACACACTTAACAGAGACACATCCTCTTTCCAGGAACCAATAAAACTGTTAAAATTACCAAGGGAATTCAGAGCAGCATGAATCAATCCAACTCTTGTCTCAAATAACAACTTAAAAGAGACTGTTTGACCAACACAAAGACTGACCAAAATTCGCGTTAAAAAAATAAAAAGACAAATGAAAACTACAGACAAAAGTTAATTTTCTCCATCAAGACATACATTTCTGTAGTCCACGGCTACCAGCAAGCAGAAAATTATTTTTGTCCTGATGATGGCCATGTTGGCCGAAACTAATCTAGGAATCTAAATGAAATAATAATAAAAACGAAGCAATATTAATATACAACCCACTGTGTCTGAAGATTTTAATTTTTTAATATTTTTTATTGTTCAATATATATATATCTTTATGCATTAGACATCCGACAACATTTATATTTCTCTTACTTAAACCCCTTCCACTCACCTCTCCTAAAATTCTCTCTGTTAAGGTTTAATCTCCCTCCTTCTCTTGTATGTTACCCCTCATACTTACACTCTCTCTAAATTCTGTTTTTATTTCCGGGGTTGTTTTTTCTGTTTTCTTTTTGAATTTGTAGGTCTGATGAATTGGATCGTATTTACGATTCCAATGGAATAAATTATGACCATGGAATATTAGTGTTTAAGCCTTTTTTATATATATATATATATATATATATATATATATATATATATATATATATATTGCCTGGTTAACGAGAATAGTTTAAACAGCATAATTCTGCCTCTCTGTGTGTCCTTACGTAAACTGACACATCCACACATAGTCGCGCTACTGATAATATAAAACGCTGATATTGAATTATATCGGGCGTAATTAAATGACAGGTTTCTTCGGAGAGGCTTTCTTGTTATAAAAATGCACACCCGGGACACTATGACTTTTTTTTTTTCATACAGAGAAGACCATAACAATTATGGCGTCTTTCGCTATACATGATAGGCTTAAAAGTGGGGACAAGTCAATTTACCTAAGTATTGCAAAAATAAATAAAACATTAATTCCCAAAGAAATTTTCTGTAGATCTGATTTTCTTTGTGTTACGTGGGAACACACCTATTCTATAGTTAATAGACTCTCCCACCTATAATAAGTAGGAATAGTAAAAGTAACGAGGGAGTCAGTGAGTCAGTCGATGTCGGACGACAGTTCGTCGAATACTAAAGTATCAGCGACCACAACTAGATTATTCTGCGTTATACCTATTATATCAAGTGCCTAACGTTTTGTACGTCGAACCTATTTTAGGACCGTCTTAGTACAAATACAAGCCTCCAGTGTGAAATCACTCCACAACACTTTGGTATCATTTCATGATCACACGTCTCCAGTAACCCCTGAGGTTCGCTGGGCCACCACATGAACTGCAGCCGCAGTAGACGTGGTATGTCTTGGGTAAGATAGCCTAGTGGAACAGAAACCTTTCCAGGCTGGTCTGAATATAGAGTGTTCCTTCTACTAGACCGGTTGCCACCAAAGGTGATAAAATCTGGTTTGTGTTGTTATTTACCCCTAGCTGGGGCAGAACAGGTGGATTCATGCCTTTTCCGAGGGCATTAGCACATAAGTAAATGTAATGAACTCGACTGGAATTTGAACTCAACACTCTGATTCTACAATTCGAAACGCTAACCATGACTCCACCCTGGTATCCTTTAGACTTCTAACAAACAAACAAACAAACAAACGTATCAACTACAACAACAACAACAGATATTCCGATCATTTGAGAAACGCAAAAACCCTGAAGTTAAAATTTACATTTTTTTCTTGCAAAATATAAGCGGCTTTATAAATAAAATTTGAGCGCAAGAACCATGTTCCATTTCCAGGATTATATTTTATGGCCGAGAAAACTACCCCGACACCTTTTCAGTAGAAAAGGCTAAGAAAAAGTTTTATTTATGTTATATACCGTACCTATGAGCACTAATGGGTATGTCCCAATCCTCATAAATACGTTGGACACTATTGTAAGTAGGAGTAATATGCTGTCTAAGTAGTGCACCACTAGCAGTGGTTTACCTACTTCACGTCGCTGGCGAGTATTGTATTTTGTTAATGTTATAAAGATTACCATTTCATTTCTAACCATCCTGTTGATTATTCCTCATTCAGTAACCCTTTCTAGATTACAATTTACTATAAGGAATGTCACGACAATTTCATCTCTGTTCCTCATTTGACCCGGTTAAAATTAGTTTTGTGCATTTATTACAAATTTATTAAATATTTTGATATACCACATTTCAACTGATACAAGGCTCAAAAGCCGTCCAAGGTAGAAAATTATACTCAAAATATTAATAAACAACTGAGTTTTGTGATATAAATGGAAGAGGTGATAGTTGAAAGTGGAGATTAGTGAAATTTCTTTCCTATATCAGGGTGCGTCTTCTAAGCCGCAATGTCTTGTAAGCCGGAAAATACAGAATAATTATTTCTTATTTTTGTCTTTAGATTTTATTTTTTTGTTTGAATTTTCGGCAATGTCACAAATTGTAATATTATTTTTATCATTAAAGATTCAATTACCCCCGACATTTCTCACCACTTTTCATCCGAATTGTTAAATGATATTTTCTTTAGTTCTTTTTTTTTCTTTTAGAAAGAAGACGTTTGCCATGGGAGATAATTTCAATTGGAATCCTAATTCAATCTAGAAAATAAAAAATTGAACCTGAAAACCCAAAGAAAAAAATACATGTAAACTAAAACAAACACCTTTTGTTTGTCTTTTAAATCACCAATATTTTCCCATTTTTTTTTTCTTGGCAAATTATTGACTGATTTTATTTTTCTTGAAAAGTCACACACGTTTATTCCGTGTGCGTCGCGTGTGCCTGCGTCTTCAGCATGTATGTGGGTAATTTTTAATTTGTTTTCAGTTCTCCTGTTGTTTATTGATAAAAGACAATCTTAAAAGGAAACGCAAATATTACGCATGCACACACTAATTCAGTAGCAAACGGAACGCTAAAACAAAGATGGCAGCCGTTTGAAATTTGATCAATGTTAAAAGAGATTCCCTGGCCGGCGTCTGAAGGTGGCAATGAAAAAAAATCATTACAAAAACTTTAGATTTATGAACAAGAAAGAGAAAATTAAACAGTGGGAAGTAATATTTCTTTGTTTCAAAACCCACAAATCGTTAATCAACATTAAAAGAACTTGGCTAATTCAATCCTCACTACAGAAAACGACGTCTCTTCTCCATCTGTTATTTGTATTCGTTAAACATGGAGGCATATCGTAACCTCGCAGAGGCATATTAAGCGATGAGCAGGTTAACCTTTCTCTGAATTCATTTGAAGAAATTAAAAATGACTCATTTATATAAAACAACAAGTGTTGAAACAAGCAAAAGTCATGGTGATTCAGGCCCGATACATATATACGAAACGGGGCAGAAAAAATCCTAACCTCGCCAAAGGGAATGGCCTCAAGCTATTAAATGTAAAGGGTGGTCAGAAAGTCTTGTCAACTCTGCATAATATAATTTTCTATTTCAGATGACTGACACGGGCTCCTAGTTTGGAAGAGAGGCCTTTTCGATGTGTGACAGCGTCAATGAAAGTGAATAAACGCATCCAGTACATGTGTTTTGTATTAACTGTATTTACTTGTTCTTCTATTGTTCTCATTACTTTTTGGTACGGGGGTGACGAAACGTTCGGACAACACTATAGTTCATTTTGTCGAGATTGAAATTTACACCATGTCCTCTAATATGTACCATTTCCCTTCAGAACGTGGACAATCATGGCTCTCCACAACTTCCTGTCCTTTGTAGCTCTTAGACAAAATTTTCTAAGAGCTACAAAGGGCAATAAACTGTGGAGAGCTATTATCGTCTACTCACTGAAGGGACACAGCATATATATATATATATATATATATAAACGTCCGTACAGGTGTGTTTATTAACATAATGTTAATTGATTGTGGTGACTGCATTTAATGACGTCTTTTGGTGGAGATCGAATAGGGAATATGAGAATATTACACAGGACATGGCGCCGCAACATTTTGTGCCATGAAAATGATGCTGTTCAAACAGACCTTCTCGATGTGTGACAGCGTCAATGAAAGTGGATAAACTGAACCTAGTCCATGTGCTTTTTTATTACTGTATTATTTGTTCATCTATTCTCATTACGTTTTGGTAGGAGATGACAAGACTTTCGGACAACACTATAGTTCATTTTGTCAAGAGGGAAATGTACACCACGTCCTCTAATATGTACAGTGTCCCTTCTGGACGTAGACAATCAAGGCTCTCCACAACTTCCTGTCGTTTGTAGCTCTTAAACAAAATTTTCTAAGAGTTACAAAGGGCAATAAACTGAGGAAAGCTATTATCGTCTACTCACTGGTTGGACATAGCATATAAATATATATATATATATATATATATATATATATATATATATATATATATATAAACGTCATAGCATTTAATCCTGTTCATGTGCTTTGTATTACTCTGTTCTTCTATTGCTCTCATTAATTTTTTGGTAGACTTTCGGACCATGCTGTAGATTATTTTTTCGAGATCGAAATGTACACTACTTCTCGTCCTCTAATCTGTGACGTGTTTCTTCAGGGCGTGGACAATCATGGCTCACCACAATTTCCTGTCCTTTGTAGTTTTTAGACGTGTTTACTTGTAGTTTTTAGACGTGTTTAATTGTAGCGTGTGGACCGAATGTCTTGTCACACCTCCATAATATAATTTTCTATTTCAGATAGCCGCCACGAAAATGATAAAGTTCGTACAGACCCCCTCGATGTGTGACAATGTCAATGAAAATGAATGAACTAAATCCAGTATATGTGATTTGTATTACTGTATTTACTTGTTTTTCTATTGTTCTCATTACTTTTTGGTAAAGGGTGACAAGACAACCCTGTAGATTATTATTTTAGAGATCGAAATGTTCACCACTTCTCTTCATCTAATATGTTCCGTCTCCCTTCAGGACGTGAACAATCATGGCTCTCCACAATTTCCTGTCTTTTGTAGCTCTTAGAAGTGTTTACTTTTCATTGGATAGTGTGGACCGAAAGTCTTGTCACCATGTATCACGTTTTCTTTGTTTCAATTCTCTTCAGCTACGAGGAGATTTACCAATATTTATTTACTGATCATCTTGGTAGAGCGATATTTTTCTATAATGGGAAGTTTAGTACAGGCTCGTCCGAAAGTCTTGTCACCCCAACGTTATATAATTTTCTATCTCAGACGGCTGACATGAAAACGATGCTGTTCAGACAGACCTTGTTCTATTGTTCTCATTTTTCGTAGGGTTGACAAGTCTTTCGAGCGACGACACGCAAATTTAGGCTAAATAAAGGATAGTCTGAAAGCCTTGTCACAGCACATGACATAATTTTGTATTTCAAATGACACAGATATGGTGTCCAAACAGAACTTCTCGATGTGTGACAGCGTCAATCAATGTGAATCAACTGAATCCAGCACATGTGTTTTGTATTACTGTACTGCCTGTTCTCATTACTTTTTGGTAAAGAGTGACAAGACTTTCGGACCACACTCTAGTAAGAAGACAAAAAGCAGATCAGTTTCCAGGAAACCGACAGCCCGACAACAGCACATGAGATTTGATTATAGTGGTGAAGGCCTCGTACAGGACCATCTATCCTTTTTGAAGACCTGGTGCACTGAGTGCCACAAGGTCCCCAAACGACCCTCCGCTTGTTTTGAATTCAGAGTTGTCCTTCTCCTAGACCAGTTGCTATGCAAGTCTATAGGACCCAGCCTGTCCTGCTATTTATCCATAGTTGGAGGGAGAAGAAGAGGAATCACACCTTTCCCAAGAGTATTAACACGTAAGTGAATGTAATGGAATTCGAACTTGGCTCTCATATATATATATATATATATATATATATATATATGTGTGTGTGTGTGTGTGTGTGTGTGTGTGTGTGTGTGTGTGTGTGTGTGTGTGTAAAAATATATAAAAAATAGGAAAGAATTCGTTAGGTAAATAATCCAAAGTTCTTTAGTATTTTTGTTATTATTTTTAAAAAATAGTGCTCCATACAAAAGTAGAGCATAAATATAATTATATATATATATATATATAATTATTTATTTAAAAATATGATTCCAACGTTACATAAGAGTTTTCGGCTAGAGCAATTGTTTAAAGAAAAAGGGGGGGCGTAAAGGTTAATAATTTGTATCAATATCTCAGTTACATTCACAGACGTCAAGTCAGGGTAAGGTTGGGGTGTCTAAATTTAAAGCGGAAGATGACATCGTCTAGTCAGGTTAAGTGTCTATGGAGATTTATTTATTTATTTTTAAGCAATTGTTCTAGCCGTTACCATAGTAATTTTAATTTAAAAAATGAATATGCTTATAAAACGCGTAAATTTCAGGAATAAGTTATTCCCAAAAACATTTCGCTTGAAGATGGAACAGAGCTTAGTACTTTAATTCAATTTAATTCAAATAACTATATTGAAGTTTTCGGCTCTTGTTTTGAAACATGAGAACTCTTATGTAGCGTGGGAATCATATTTTTAAATAAATAATTATATATATATATATATATATATATATATATATAAACGTCCGTACTGATCGGTTTATTAACATAATGTTAATTGATCGCAGCATTTAATGACGACTTTTGTATCATTGTATTTAAATAATTTATTTTATGAAGATATCTCAATCTGAAGAGATGAATGTTAGTGTGTTTCTTAACTTCAGTGATCAGACGATAAGCAATTTTTCATTGCCGTAAGCCTTGAAATCAAAAAAGCGGGAAGACAGTTCCACAGGCGAGAAGTGCGTGAGAAGTAACTGTTGGTATAAAACTCACGTTTTCATATAGTCATTTCGATTGTAAAATGATGAAACATTGTCGCCAATCTACGACTATGCTTGGATTCATAAAGTCTAAGTACCATGGAAGAAAACCTTCAAGTAAAAGTCGTTGGTAGCGTAAAATTTACAACAAAAAACAATGTATAAAAAAAAAAACAAGTGTATAAATCCTTTGAGTGGAATTAAAGTTTTAAAAGTGTAAATACGGTTTATTCCAAAATGAGTAACAATATTTAAACTTCATTTTTGAAGAAACCCAATTAGTTTAATCAACATCTATCTATCTATCTATCTATCTATCTATCACATTCTACTCATATCTATCTAAGTAGCTAGCCATCTCGTCTATCTATCTATCTATCTATCTATCTATGTTCATATCTATCTATCACATTCTGATCATATCTATCTAACCAGCTAGCTATCTCGTCTATTATCTATCTATCTATCCGTCTATCTATCTAGCCATCTATCCCAATATCTATCTATCTATCTATCTATCTATCTATCTATCTATCTATCCCAATATGTTTATATCTATCTATCTATCTATCTATCTATCTATCTATCTATCTATCTATCTATCTATCTCGTGTCTTATCATACGTGCTTCCGTGGTGTGTCCGTTTAGCGCATAATAATGATTTAAGTTTTTTTCCACTTCCCTCTTTCCACCTCTCTCTTTCCACCTCTCTCCATTTGCACTTCTCTCTCTCTCTCTTCCCACCGCTCTCTTTCCACCTCTTTCTCTCTTTCCGCTTCTCTCTTTCCACCCCTCACTTTTCCACTTCTCTCTTTTTACCTTTCTCTTTCCATCGCTCTCGTTCCACCTCTTTCTCTCTTTTCCCTTCTCTCTTTCCACTTCTCTCTTTCCACCTCTCTCTTTCCACCGCTCTCTTTCCACCTCTCTCTCTTGCCACCTCTCTCTCTTTCCACCTCTCTCTCTTTCCACTTCTCTGAGATTTTTGTGTCTTTTTTTATATTTCAGCTTTCTTTAAACAAACAATATTTTAGGTATTTAAAAATATTTTTTGCCATATTCAAAAAATATTTTCAAGTGAATAGGATTTAAAAAATATTTTTGGCGTATTAAAAAATATTTTTAAGTTAATCTGATTTTACAAAAAATATGTTAAAAGATCAACCAGATCAGTAAAAAATCAGCATACTGTGATAAAAACTTGCTCCAAAATTAATGAAAACAGTTTTATCGTCAAAATAGTTATTATTAAGAAGAATCAAATTATTTTTTATTAATTAAATTTTTTACCCCTTTTTAGAACATTAGAAATTTTGAATAAAAAACTTTTTCTTGCGTCAGTGGTTGTACTAACTTTTGCATAGCAAATTTTCGCGTCTTTTTTTTTTTTTTTTTTTTTTTTTTTACGATGACAGACACATCAATTTGGAAATACTTGCAAAAATCAAATAATTGTCGGATTTTAATGAAATTTTCAGGAAAAACGAAACTAAATTACTTTTAAAAGATTTTTATTAGAAAATC